TGTGTGTGTGTGTGTGTGTGTGTGTGTGTGTGTGTGTGTTCAGTTCAGCAAAAGAGTCAAAGATAATAATACATATTGATTCACTTTCCTAATAAATCAAACCAGCAGAATCATCACAGTTGTTGATGAGCTTTGTGATTTGAAGTTGTAACAGTGTGTTGATACTCAAGTCTGTTAAAGACAGCCTCACTGAAGAGAGGGAGCACTGAGGGTTGTTCACACACAGATGTAGTGATGGGTGTCTAAAGTTATTTGCTCTGAAGAAGAATTAAGATTTTCACTGTAGATTTGTTTCTTTAAACACGTTGAGTCAGTCAGCAGGACTGTATAATGCTGACACAGTGTATGAAGGGTGCAGAGATGGAGAAGCATTTCCAAGAAGACAACATGGTTTAAGAAATGTTTTCACTGTTACATTTTATTAATTATATAACCTACTTAATGCAGTTTTCAGGGACAACATGCTCACATGTGCATAATGTCATCAACATTGTTGAATGTACAGTATGTATACAGGATGTGATTGCATGGACACATTTTACTTCCTGTAAACATCACAAGATGGAGACAAAGTCCACATGTTGTTCACAGCCTGCTCATTTTGAACACTGAACATTTGATTTCTGTCACTTATTTTAAGACACACCTTTGTCAATACACTTCCATCACTGCTGTGGCTCCTGGTGTTGTTGTTGCTTCATCAGGCACCAATTTAGTAAAATAATTTCAAAGACATTATTCAGATTGAATTATATTTATAAGATATCTTTCAGAAAATGAGAACCTAAAATCAACCTAACCTCATTTCACTAAAATCCAGAGTTCCCTGAGGCTGATCCTTGAGGTACCTGATGGTGTACTGTAAGACATACAGATGGAAGCCATGCTTTTCATATGGTGACTCTAAATTGTCCGTAGGTGTGAATGTGAGTGTGAATGGTTGTCTGTCTCTATGTGTCAGCCCTGTGATAGTCTGGTGACCTGTCCAGGGTGAACCCTGCCTCTCGCCCAATGTCAGCTGGGATAGGCTCCAGCCCCCCCGCGACCCTCAAGAGGATAAGCAGTTATGAAAATGGATGGATGGATAATAATTATAATGCACTTTTATTTATAGGTGCCTTTCAAAGCACTGGAGGACACCTTACAAGACACTGTTAAAAAACACAAGCAGCAATTTATCTATACTAGATCAAACAATTCTGTTATATACAACAAAAGTTAATAAAATACCTACACAAAAATCCTTATTATAAATGCCATTAAAAAAATATCATTATAAAACAAAACAACTTACAACAACTAAACAAAGTACCTCATACAACACAGGGACAAACAGTCATACACCAGAAATTTCACATTGGCATAACAATATTCCAAACTAGCTCAACTGCATGAAGCACAAGTTGACAAAAGAAAAAAGAAAAATTTAAGAAAATACAAGGCGTTATTGAAGAGATCAGAGTAGAGACCCATCACTCTTCATCACCCCTCCTCAGCTTCAATAAACCTTCCCCAGCTACCTAAGTGACCTTGGTTATATATATATATATAATGTCCTTCCAAAATAAAGTGGTTTTAAAGGAAGCCCTTAAATCTTTCCCTTACCTTATTAGTAAGGAGATATTTGTCTGGCAGAAGTTACCAACAAAACTAGACCAAAATGGTACAGCAGCAGCAGGAGTACTAATGACACCTTTTAGAAATAATAAACTTATGGTACAGTTACATTATATTATGTTCTATTATATTCTATTATATTATATCATATCATGTTCTATTATATATTATATTATATTATGTTCTATTATATTATATCATATCAATTTATATCATATATTATATCATATCATGTTCTATTATATATTATATTTTATTATGTTCTATTATATCACATCATTTTATATCATATTATATTATATCATATCATGTTCTATTATATATTATATCATATCATATTATATTATTTTACTATCAATCATCAGTCAGTCAATCAATCAGTTTTACATCCGTCAATAGATAAATAAGTAAATAAATAGATAAATAAATAACGAAATAGAAGAATATTCCAGCTAAAAAGACGGACTAATAAGAATAAATACACAATAATCATTAAAAAATAATAAATTAATTAATTAAAAAATAAAATACAATGATAAATAAAAAAAAATATTTTTAATTAATAACAATAATGATTAATATTAATTGATTAAATAAAAACGAATAAATTAAAAAAAAAAACAGAATAAAAGCCAGGCTAAAAAGGTAGGTCTTGAATTTGCTTTTAAAACATCAACACTCTCTCAAATCTGATAAATGGGTAGGACTAAGACCATTAAGAGCTTTATAAACCAGTAAAAAGATCTTAAAACCAATGCAGAGAGAAGCACACGTGCAGCTGAGTTTTTCAGTAACTGTAATTGAGCAGTGTTTTTCTTCGGAAGACCAGAAAGTGGAGCAATACCGTGATCAATTCTGCAGGTGATAAAATATTTTAGAGTATTATACTATTAGTCAGGCTGAGTTTTGTGCCACTGGGTGGAAGCAGTGCCTGAAGGCAACGCTTGTCATCCACCAAAAAAGAGGGGAAAGAAAAAAAAAATAAAAAAATAAAAAGAAAACACCGGATCACATGACCGCCACCGTTATTTCCTGCAGCATCAAGCTCTCCGCTCGCTACTCGCTCCTGCCTGCGACAGCACAGCAGCGGTGTGGTCGCTCCCGACACATTAACGGAAAGAAGAAAAACACTCCACACCAACTGAAGGCCTCTGCTACACCGACAACTGCTGCAGTCACAGCGACGACGGATACAACAAGCACTCACACAGTTGTTTTCTAATCTTAGTCGCTGTTTTTTTATTTTTTTATTTGACAGCCTTGTAACAGAAGAAGAAAAAAAAGCCAGTGCTCATAATGGCGACAGCTGCGGTGTCTGCCCCTGCTGGCTGCGGCCCCAGCCCCGGGTCGGGAACGGAGCTGGTCCGCGGGCAGGCCTTCGACGTCGGGCCTCGGTACAGCAACCTCTCCTACATCGGGGAGGGAGCCTACGGGATGGTGTGGTGAGTGTACCCGAAGACTCTCTTTAACTTACATACAGTGTATATACAGTTTACACCTTTTCTTTTTTGTTTTACCCTGATTACACGTTAGCTAACGTAACTTACCGTTGTATCTTTTCCGTTATAAACAACCAACTTAACTAGCTAAATGTCATGTTTTAAGCTAGCAAGCCGATTACACCGATGTTAGTTCAACAAAGACAGACAAGATTAAATCGCGGCTGAACTGGCTTGACTTTGGGTGGGTTTTAATAACGACAAATCACTTAAGTTAACCAGGAGGTCTGTTTTATTTAGATATACAGCTAACAATGATTAGTGACTCACAATTATCACTGAATGTCATTTGCATCGCCTTTAACTGAGGTTGTATTGCATCCTTTATACACTTAAACGTAGCATGCATCTTATAAAAATGAACAAACCTGATGTTTTGTCAATAGTATTTCTTTAACAGGCACCCAACAGGGTGTGTGCAATCCTTCACTATGGATTTACAGTGATTTAAGGACACTGGATGGTTGTTTTTGTCTCCCTAATAAATACAGAATTTATATTAATCTGACATTAACACATGCAATTTTCCTCTACTATATTATCATAAAATTCCCATGTATTCTTCTACAGTAGTTGTACTCTATGGTTACATAAATAGCGATTTTAAATTACTTTTTGATCATTTCTAACTCCCAAACTATTGCTTTAGTGTTAATACTCTACCATTGTTTATACAGGTTTTCAGTTATAATCAGTATAGAACTTAAACTAATCTAATGTTACTGCATCTTATTTTTCTGTTTAATATATGAATTTTCATATGTCACCAATTGTAGCTGACTATGCACAATGCACAATTTCCAGTAATTTTAATTGACTTTGTGATCATTTCTAACTCCTGTACTAGTATAATACCCCTTTCAATACTTCACTATATAATCAGTACAGAATTTATATTAATCTGATTCTACAACATGCTATTTTCCTCTACTATATTATCACAAAATTCCCATGTGTTCTTCTACAGTAGCTGTACACTATGGTTACATAAATAGCGATTTTAATTGGCTTTGTGGTGGTTTCTATCTCCCAAACTATCGCCTTAGTGTTTATATTCTACCATTGCATGTATAGGTTTTCAGTTGTAATCAATATAGAACTTAAACTAATGTCATGCTATTTAATCTTAATTCATCTGTAACATATCAGTGTCCACGTGTCACCCATTGTAGCTGTGCACTGTTTAAATTTACAGTCATTTTAATTGACTTTGTGGTCGATTTTAACTCCCATACTAATAATACCCCTTTCAGTACTTCACTATATAATCAGTACAGAATTTATATTAATCTGATTCTACAACATGCTATTTTCCTCCACTATATTATCGTGAAATTCTCATGTGTTCTTCTACAGTAGCTGTACACTATGTTTACATTAGTAGTGATTTTAATTGACTTTGTGGTGGTTTCTATCTCCCAAACTAGCGTAATTGCTGTTTTAACAGTTCACCATTGAGATATGTTATATCAATACAGAATCCATACTAATCTCCTGCTACTACATGTTATTTTTCCTGCACTATATAGTCATAAAAATGTCCATGTGTACTCACACGTGGTAGCTGTACACTATGTTAAATTGTTATTAGTTATGGCTGATGCTGAAGGCTTATTACACGCTGTATGTGAAGGAATTTATAGTGAGACCCATTCTGGGAGCAGTATTTTTTACCTGAATGATATGCTATCAGGGGTGAGGTGGAAGATAAATACATCAAAACTCAATTTATGCACAGTTTTATTTGTGGTTTTTATAGATTTCACCCCATTGCACTGCATGATTGTTATTGTAATTGTGTAAATCTGTAGGATTCACTCCGATAATTAACCCCAAAGATGACTAATTTAATTTTAACTGTGAAATTGTGCTCTCTCTTTCAAAAACACAAAATCTTGTTGTTTCTTTAGCCCGTGGCACTGTAGTTGACCTTATGTGCACACTGTAGTGTATTACATAATATATTGTCCTTGTGTCAAGCAACAGCAGTGTAGTTCTTTTTTTCCTCTATGGTGAGAGGAGCTGGGTTTTCTGAGAACACTGATTTGACACATGGCCTGCCTACAGTGCAGAGGCACAGCAGGTTGTTCAGCATCTCTCTGTCTGCAAAGTCGAAAAACCCACCAAAAGCACACAGCCTTGGTTGATACTCGTACAATCCCCTATCAACAAATCACCAGTACATACCCACTGCAAGCATACTAAAATACAGTTACCATCAAAGCCTCAATGCTGGAGGGATGTTCAGTTGTAAAGCGTTTGTATGTGAGCTTGCTCTAGCATTAAAACAGACAATAGCACTTCAGAATAAGTGTTGAAATCTGATGGTTGGTGTGAAGCTGGGCGGCTTAACTGCAAGTCAAATCAAAACAATTTCAGAAATTCACTTAAAAAATTATATGAGTATTTGCTGCTTTGTTTCTGCTCTATATTGTTGGTAACTTCAAAGCTGACTATTAGTCTGACAAATTCAATCATTTCAGGACATCACTTTGCTCTCTGGTTATGTGTAATGGGCATTTGGCATTAGTTTTTGCACTATATACGGCTTCATGGATAAAATATTAATCTATATGTATAGTGGCAGCTGACTGTCTTAATGTGTGCTGAACTATGTTTTAATTAAGCTAACAAATAATACTTAATATTAATGCCGTTTTATTGACTATATCTTTCACATAAGGAGCTGAGGAGTTTTTTGAAGTTGGGACATTTACACTGGTGCAAATAACTGAATTTAAAAGTATAGTTGAACTGATAGACTAGACTGATGGATTCAGTGGTTTTTTGATCAGAAAATGTTCATTTTTCTCCTAAAATTTCTTCTTAATAAGGGAAGTTCGGTCACAATTACTTGCTCCAAACTCCAAACTGGCCCTTCTGAAAGCTTGATTTTTTTCACGGGACAACTTAAAAGTGGACACAGCTGTTAAATTTTGCACTACACATGCTAACATTAGCAAAATTAGGTCAAGAATATTTTCACAGTCTGCAATGCCCTACCTCAAACTCAGCTCACACAAAGACAACAAAGAGCTGTTTTTGTTATAAGTAAAACTCGGCACATCATCCTCTTAGCCAACAATTAATGACATGTAACAAGTGGCAACTTGTTGCTGTGGTTTTTTCTGCACGTCACCTCTCAGGAACTATCTGTCAGTCAAACTTTTGGGGCAGCAGTGTGACGTCTTATTCCTTGAACTTTATTTTAACGAAGTTTCACTATCTGTAAGTGGAGCTCTTTTCGTTATCAGTTCGCCCATGCTAGTCACCAGTGCTTTCTTCTTCATGTTATTGCAAGTCATTCCAGTAATGTGTGATGCACAAGAAGACTTTTAGCTCCTCACATGAACTTTTGACTTTTCATTTGATAGTTTGCTTTAAGATCAGGCATCTTTTTGTTGCTGTTCTCACATCTGACTTTTGACTTAAATCATGAGAAGGTGATGCTGTCTGTGGAGCAAAAGGCATGATCATTGATAATTTGATAAGTTGAAATGTTTGGTTGAATTTTTTCAAGGAAATTAATACAGTGTATCACCCATCTACAAGAAATGACCCAAAGATACAATGATTTGAGTATGAGGATGACACGCATATTGAGATCTGTCATACTCCATGACATCAGCTATCATAAATTAGAGCAACAGGTACAGATAGTTCCATCATGCTTGACTAAAGTTACAATAACTGTATTTGTTTTGACTTACAGTGATGCCAGTATCTCTAAGATGGCAAAATGACGAGTTACAAGAACTTTGTGTTCATCAAGTGTGACCGTTTTGTCTTGTTGTACAATCGCTTCTCACTTATAAATAGGTCCTGTGAGACTAAATATGCAACACCACAAACTGTTTGTCTATATATTATCACAGGATATTTTGAGTCATTTTAGGTTTTCAAGGAGAAATACAGATTATTTTAGGTGATTTTTGAGAGCACTTCCCTTTATGAACTCAAAGACTGTTTCATCTTGCAGCCCTTAAATTACTGTACCATATACCATCAGCAAAAGCTATAGAGACAGTTCAGTATTCTTCGCTCATGTCCATGTAAAAGCCCAGTTCTTTACTTTGGTGTTGTTTATGTATCTTTGGCGTTGGAGTGGGCGATGTGTCAGCCTCAGCCTCCTTGCACTTGCTGTCTTGCTGCGTTCTTCTTTGAGACCTGTAGTTTTGAGTCAGTTGGTCATGTTGCTTTGATGTGCAGCAGCCAGGGAAAGTGGTGCAGCATGTACTTCATAGACAGCCCTTGGTTTGCATCTGAAGTATTTTTGTATCAGGAAGTTGCTCTTTATCAGGCTCTTTGTGGTGGCAGTGCACCACTGAATACTGGTGTTACCACTTTGTAAATGGCTTCCCTTAGGCTGCGTTCAACAAGTGCCATGAGTCAAAATGAAGCTGAACTAATGCTCATATTCTATCATATACATTTTACCCATAAGCACGTTTCACACTCTGAGGTTTTTAAGAAAATTGGAACATTTTTGATGAAAAATGAGCATATCAAATTACAACTTGGTGAAACTCAACTCTTAAAGCTGGAATTATTTTTCTGCAGAGATGTGATGAAACATCTCTACAGATCTACAAAGAGGTCATGCTATAACTTCAATTTTGTGACTGTAGGTTGCAGATGCTTTCAGAGGAGCATCCATGTAAGCCTCCAAAATATTATGTCATGCAACCATGTCAGTCAAACAAGCTAATCGGTCAATCCATCTTCCTGTTGGGAGACTGCTTTGAAACAAAGAAAATATGTTCATGTTTGTGCGAAGTACGAAAGAAACAGCCATGTAAACATCTCCAACTGAAGTGCACCCAAGATTTACTCCTAGACATGCTGAAAGCACTTTATAAAACCAGCAGATTCATACTGAAGCCTTACACTAAGATGCTGTTCACATTTGCCATGACAACAGCTTTCTCTGCCGTCTCCATGTC